GCACTTGAGCAGTCTGGAGAATGTACTCAGGACTGGCCCAACTAATTTGCATGGTCCTTAGCAAGATGAACACACAAAGATATCTGTTTAAATATTAAGAACTGTAGCATGGCAGCAGAAGAGAATTAATAAATTCAAATCCTCACTCAACCTCATATGTTACACATTCATGAAACTCCCCCTTTGAATTGAGTGACATTTAGAAAAATGGTTGAAATTAGAAACCACTGACGTTTGGGAATAAGAGATTAATGTGCGGCTTGGTTTTTGTCAACTTGACGCAAACTAGAGTCACCTGGAAGGAAGGAGCCTCGACTGAGGTGATGTCTTCATCGTGGTAGCCTATGGGCATGTTGGTAGAGCATTTTCTTGATTGTTGGTTGATGTGGGAGGACCCAGCCCACTGTGAGTGATGCCATCCTTTGGTTGGTGGTCCTGTGAGGTGTAAGTCCTAAACATGACTCAAGCCAGTAAGCAGCCTTCTTCCATGGTCTCTGTTTCAGTTCCTGTCTCTAGGTTTTTGTCTGGAGTTTCTACTCTGACTTCCCTTCATGATGGACTATAAACTGTAATCTGAAATAAACCCTTCCCTCCCCAAGCTGCATTTTGGTGTGATATTTACTACAGTAATAGAATACAGGCCAGGACAGTTAATATTATGAAATGTTACAAATGTGGAAAGAAATAGATTTCTCTGAGATGTAATTCTACATTGTGTATCCAGATTACTGAGGGCTACATTGTATACCCAGATTACTCCTACATGGTGGTGAATGCCCTTAATCCCAGCACCTAGAAGGCAGAGGCAAGCAGAAAGATCTCTGTGAGTTCAAGGCCAGACAGGCTATACAGTGAAACTCTGTCTTGAAAATAAATAAACACTCAGCTTTCCTCCCAGCAATTTTACTTGCAGGAATTTATTCTGCAGATGTTATGATCATGCAGAATGGTACTAGTTCAAAGTATTGACTGCAGCATGGTTCCAACTACATAATATGGGGAGCAGCTTGAGCACCCCCTGCTGAGGACCAGTCTGAAGGAATGTCCCAGCCTCTGGGAAATGTGCTTTCCCACCATCTTCACACATCTTAGGACTGCAGCTGCATTCTTTGCTCCCATGACTTGATTCTAAGCTTTAGGAAACTTGGTCTTAGGGTACTACTTACAAATGAGAAATGGGAAAATTAATGTCTTAATTCCTAACCTGTAAAAAGACAGTTAAAGGGTGTACACAGAGCTCCCTGCCTCTATGAAATGTAGCTGTCTATGGTAAGGGAACTTTTTCTAAGATGATTTTTGTTTCTGCAAAAAAGCAAAGCTTGAGGCTACAACCGTGTACACAGGTCACGTACACCATGCACCGTCTCTGCTTTAAATTAAATGAAATGTTTGTATCTCTTAAGAGGAGGTGGGACAAAGACCACTTTCCAATGCCCATGTTTTCAGTTGAATTTTGAATCATAGGCATAAGTTGCTTAATGCATAGATGTGTGTGTGTGTGTGTGTGTGTGTGTGTGTGTGTGTGTGTGTGTGTACACTTTAGACAACATGACTTGGGAAGAAGATAGCCACTGGTAAAGAAGGCAACATTCCTTTCTGCCAATAGATGGTGGTGGTCACATGGCACCGAGACTCTTTGAATAAATACTGCCCCCCAAAATGGGAATCAGAAGGGTGATGAATTCACACTCTCATCTCCATTCCATACTCTGTAGGGCTTTGAAACCAACTCAATTTTAGAATCAATAATAAAGGAACAAAGGAATTCTCAAAGAGTAAGGTAGGAAGAGATGGCAGAAGAGAGAGGAATAGGTGAAGGGAGAGAGACAATTCAACTAGCAGCTGCGAGTATCATGGCAAAGGAAATGTGGGTATCCTCAGTCTAGGGAGTAAGGTGATAATCGTCTACACCAAGTAGGAGAGACTGATCTGAGAAGGAAGAGCAGAATTCAGCTTTCCTTGAAGATCGCAAACTCAGACTTGTTGACTAATTGAACATGCCTGAGAACTGGAAAATGCAAGCAGAAGACTCTCAGTGACTGCCTTCTAGGAAACATGGCCACATCCTCAACGTCTGCACTGGAGAATTAGACCTGGGTTCTTCATTTCCATGCCCTGATTTTCATCCTTAGGAAAGTAGGCCTTAGGGTACTACTTGTGATTCTAAAATGGAATAAGTAATGATTTAATTCCCAGCCAGTAAAGGGCAATCCAAATGACAGGCTTCTCCATTTCCCCAGGGCTAGTTTTTAACCTGGGACAGAAATAAGCCTCGTGTATTAAATCAATACAATCACTCACAGCTTAAAAAAAAAAAAAAAAAAAAAAAGAAAGAAAGAAAGAAAAAAAAGGCATTGCTTTGCTGAGTGTATTATACCAACTACTTCTATTTCTTAATGGCTTACTTCCTTCAAACGGCTTCAGCCTAACTGGATTTCAGAGCCAAGCCAACTCCATCTTTGGATTTGGTACCTTGAGCAAGCACCCAAAGATATTTCTGCTGCAACGTAAGCCCAAAGGCATTGTGTAACATTTCACAATTTCACACCACACCTGTGCTTTCTCTTCCTCTCTTTCAGTCTCAGTGGGAGCAATCTATGAGAATCAGAGAGCAGGACAGACTAGAGAAAGTGTGAGTGCGTGCCCATGCTCAGGCACAGTGGGTCAGCCTTATGAACTTCGCATGCTTGATCACACAGATAGCAAAATCACTGACCACTGCAACATTTCTGGTCCTTCTCTGGAAGGGTACAGTCTCCATTTTTTACCGACTAGCTTTTGAATTATCAGTTTTCTCTTCAACCACTCCTATGGCCATAAACCCTTTCTAGTAATTCCTTTCCCCCTCCACCTTTGCTCTGTACACTCCATTGTCCTTGGATTTGAGGCAATCCCTCTGTCTCAGCGTCCCAAGTGCTGAGATTACAGGTGTGTGCCATCACCCTCAGCTTCTTATTTTTCATAAAAACAATAGGCTTCAATTATGACATTTTCACGTGTAAATAATACACTTTACACAGACACACACAGAGTAAATCTGGATTGCATATATTAAAGAAAATATTTTTGTCTTTCTGCATCTGGCTTACTTTGCTTAATGTTATGATCCCCAGCTGTAGTCTCAAAGTCTCAAAGTTCTCTCTCTCTCTCTCTCTCTCTCTCTCTCTCTCTCTCTCTCTCTCTCTCTCTCTCTCTCTCTCTCTCTCTCTCTCTCTCTCTCTCCCTCTCCCTCTCCCCCTCTCCCCCTCTCCCTCTCCCTCTCCCTCTCCCTCTCCCTCTCTCCCTCTCCCTCTTTCCCTCCCTCTCTCCCTCTCCCCCTCCCTCCCTCAAGTTTCTGGCTTACAAACTAGTAAGCAAATGCTAGTAAGTGAGAGGCTTAAAATGATCTGGTAAATTGAGGTGCAGGACAAGGAAGCCATGGCTTTCCTCACTGGCCTATAACAGCATCGGAAGGTCGGGTCCTTTCAACAGTGATATTTTAAACTCCATTTCTGCCCCATTTCTCTCATTTCAAAGAACAAACTCTGTTCAAAGTAAAGTGGTTTGACCTTGTTCTTTCGCAGTTTGCTTGGGATTGGAGTTTAGATTTTTCCAGTTCTCCAATATCTTATACCTTTCACCATTTGTGATTCTATAATTCATTTGCCTTCCAATTCTGCTGTTTATCCCCACACTCAATCCTCCTTAGAAACAATCTCCTTGTGTAAACCCTTACATTATTTCAGTGGCTAGTTATAATTTTTCTCTAGCTGCACCCAACTATTCTGAATGTATCACATCCTGAGTTACGATGCAATATTTCCGGTGGACAGATTGGGCAGTGGCCAAGCCCTCAGACATTGGACATAATAGTAATCAGGTGCCGGTCATGCCCCTAAAAGCCTCAGCTCCAGCATGTGTTAAGTTGCAGTAATTTACTTCGCCAGGATGAAGTCCACCTGCCACATACTCACCAAGCCTCTAATACAGTCAGCACTAGTACAGCTATGATTTTATTTCATTTTTCCCCCCAGGAATCTTCCTCGACTAGTCAAAGGTCCTTCAAAATTGTCGGAAATTTTCTTCCAAAAATAACGAAGCTAATGTTGCCCAAATCCACAGTCCTACGAATTACAAACACGTATTTTACATTGAACTCATTTTTTTTCCTGTTACTTTATTCTTGTATATACTGGTTTTGGGTCTTTGCAATGCCCCTTTCCATGGAAGCCAAGTGAAGCTTCAGACTCATCTTATGAGTTGAAAGAGATCCTGAGACTGTCATTTCACAAATGAGACAGGGACCATTTAGAGGATCCAGGTCACATGGCTAGACTAACTGATGATCCCCCAGTTCTGTGGGGGTCGGTATGACAGTTCAACATTCTCCTAATAACTACAAGTTTCTGATCCCTGATTCCGATTCCCAATCCCTAAAAATTTCCACCATGTAATTTTGTCTGAGTATTTAAAGTAATTGATGAAATTAGAAGAGGTGGGATACACACACACACACACACACACACACACACACACACACACACACATATATACATATACATGTATATATGTGTGTATGTATACATACACATATGATCAAAGCATCTGAAAATGGCCTGGTGATCATGTAATCATATACAGAATACAAAATCTTCCCTTGTGTCCTTTGCCAAGGACAAAAAACAAACAAACAAACAAAAAGCAAATCAAACTCAAAGTTTAACAAAAGTTAAAACGGTGGGAATTTTAAAATGTTAATGTTTTGCCAATATTTAGCGAACATTGAATTAAGAATTCTGTGCCGTGCCCTAAATCCCGTGATTGGCAAAAAATATTTCCAAATACAATGTATGTAAATGAGATAAAAAATATTTCCAAATACAATGTATGTAAAAACTGAACAAAAGAATTCTGTTCCTCTTTCTGATTTTTGAGTGAATAAACGCATAATTAACAAGTTTAAGGGTTCATATGGAAAAATTTCCTAGTATACTATAAGAGAGCAGCACGTTTTTACACTTGCATTGGTGGTTCAGTGGTAGAATTCTCGCCTGCCACGCGGGAGGCCCCGGGTTCGATTCCCGGCCAATGCAGCTCTTTTTATCCCGCGCGCCCCCCCCCCCCCCCCCCCCCATCAAGGTTCTCTTTGCTCAAATCTTGTTTTTCTAAAATTATTGGTATTAATGAGGAAGAGAAAGAACTACGAGTTTGCTTTCCGAACTTTACGTTTCATTTTTTTCCCCAGCAATCACGAGCCGGTTTTCTATATTCTGCAGATTTTTCTTGGCCTTTTGTTTGTTGTTTTTGTTTTTCGATACTCTGGTTGTGAGCAAAATATATTACAGGCATGGGAGTCTATGTATGTATTGAGAAGAAAAAATTCTACCAAGGCTGCTTGGAGATGCCGGGGATTGAACCCGGGACCTCACACATGCGAAGCGCGCGCTCTACCACTGAGCTACATCCCCCAGCCTGCACGGTCTCTCTCAATAAGTGTACTCATTCAGTGAACTGAGCGCTAGGCTGAAAGGATTTGGTCCGACTTCATTCTATTAGAAGTTTCTACGGTGTATTTCTTCTTTCTTTGTACTCCCAGTCCAGGCTGCGTTCCTGGTGCGTCTGGGCCGACCCCGGGCAGCGAGCCGGCAGCTGAAATTTAGCCGCCAGCCGAGCCTCAGCGATGGCAGCATCGCCGGGGTCCCGCCGGAGCCCAGAGCTCTGAACCACCAGAGGGGCGGGACCGCGTCCCTCTCAGTTCCTTCCCGAACCCTACTCCGTGAGCTTACTGCGCAGGCGCCGGAGATCCCTGCGGCCTGTCGGTTGGTGCCGAGCATTTCCCCCAGCTAGGTTACAGACCCTGGACTCTACCAGGAGGTCAAGTCCGGAACTGCGGGTACCACTCAGGAGACCCAAGAGACCTATTGCTGCATATGCCTGTCTCTACATTGAAACGTTTTATAGATTTTTCTGGACATCCTGCACCTTTGGAAACCTACGTCTCAGGAAAGCCACATCCAATGTCCGGTTTACCCAGTGACTTTAACATTTCTGCTCTGCCTTTTGGAGGACCAAATCCACATGGATTCTTTAGGTGGAGGTTATGGTCAACTCTTGCAGCTGAAAAATGATTTTGCTATTGACTCTTCTTTTTTCATGCAGAGCGAACTGAAACAAAATGATGCTGCCTCCTTCTTGGTGGTATAAATGATAGGGTGGAGAGTCTACTCTAGATGGGTTTTTCACTCCTTTGATATTTACACCTTGGGCCAATCAGATTGACTGATGTATGTCCAACTAGTTGATATAAATATAACTGTTTTAATACCCTCGAGTTTCGCTGACCTAATCGTGCCTCAGCCCTCAAGTTCCAGTTGGTTGGGTGCAAGCTAGATGATTCCATGGCTATGAGTGAAATGAAGTGTGTGTCCCTTCCGGGTGCATTTAAAACTGCTTCCACTGTAGGAGGTGAGGCTGAATGGTAGAAGCCTCAGGCGCTAACTGCAGCAGGGTCAGGTATCTGGTGTAGATGGAGCTACGTCAGCTTATTTCCATCCAACCTGTAAGGTTGAGGCCAAAATGCTGCGGCAGAGTGAGGGCCTGGAGTGCCTCGACCTTAGCTCGTACAGAGGTCAGCCCTGCAAAAGGCAGACCGGAAAGTAGAAATGTCACAGTCACTGGGTAACCACAAGCTTCATAATCACACACTGAACTTAGAGATAATAGGCAAGTTTTCAAGTGCTGTGCTGAGATGCGTTCCCAGTCCTTTTTTCACTTTATTATTTTGGGACAGGGTCTCACTAAGTTGTCCAGGATGGCCATGGATTCTGTAGTTCAAACAGATCTTGCACTTTCAATCCCCCTGCCTCAGCCGCCAAAAGAGCTGGAATCCCAGGCCTGCACCACTAGAAGTAGCTCAAGCCTCCTTCTGAATTCAGCAAGTGGCATTTGTTTGTGGTACTGTGTTCACTTATCTTGTCTCAGCTCTTAGCACTTGCGATCTGGCAGGTATTGCTCATCCCTCCCTCGAAGCCAGCTACAAGTTAAGGCCTCCATTTCAGTCCAGGAAGTGGACTTATTCCTTATTCCTGGCTGTGCCTTGGAATCACTGGGACAGCTTTTGAAAAAAGATGCAGTTGTTTGAGCCCAAACCTGGACCACCTAAGTTAGATTCTCTAAGGATGAGTCCAGCAGCAGTGTGTTCATACACACGTGCTATAATGTGATGATTTGGTACATATAATATACACATCATATAACGATTGCAATTTAATTATCATATTCATCTAAGCCTACATCATGCATTATATCCCAATGTTCATTTTATAACTGCAAATTTGTATCCAGTGTTCAAGTCTTTCCATTTTCCTTACAGCAGTATCTTTTAAAAATTTTTCAGATGATTCCAATGTGTGGCTAAGGCCGAAGGCCACATGCCTTCCATGTAAACAAGAGAAGTCTGATACTAAATCAGCTGTTCTCAACCTTGAGCACATATCAGGATCACCAGGAAGGCTGTGAAACTAGACTGATACTTGAATCTCGTTCCCAAGCATTCTAATTTAATAGGCTTAGGGTGACCTGGGCATGGATGTTTGAAAGGCTTCCAGGTAAGTCTAATATGAGCTAAGGTAGAGTATCATTGCATTCAAGTGCATACTTTCTCAAGTTCTCCACTTCGTGTGTGAACATCCAAGGCTGCCGTAATTCTGCAAGTGGAAAGGCTCATTGCCCAGACCTCCCCCACACTCAGGAATTAGTGTTGCTGGAGGATGGAGCTGACTCATTCCAATTTCTCTTCCTTATTTTCCTTATTGTAAAATCAAACTGGTGGAGGCAGGTGTTTTAGTGCTAAAAATGAGCATTTCTTATCCTCCTGTTCTATGTTCTCTACCCCACATTCTTATGAATGGATTCCTTAAGTGGGATGACCCTGCTGATTTGCTGCCAACTCTAAGGCTCAACAAAGGGCTAGGCGATGAGTGGGAGGGGTGTGATTTGTACTTGGCACCCGGGATGCTTGGTGCTTGTAACTTCCTGAGTTAAAATTCTGATCGCTTTACTCAAGCAGCTTTTCCAACACATTATTTTGTTCCTCAGGGCCATAACTGTTAGTAATTCTTCATCAGCACAGTTAATTATCATTAATAACAATCTGAGGGCCAAAAAAGTTGCTGATTACATTTATTACAGAGAAAGTTAATAAACATACTCTTTTCAATACATATCCCAAAGTGAAAAATTATAGTGGTCATAATCTACATGTAGAGTCAGAAATATTTATCGAACAGTAAGTGAGATCTTACATGGGAAGTTGCGGATTTTATCATTTAGATTCTAGTTACAAATAGCTTAAAACAGAAGGAGTAATGTATTTGGGGGGGAGGCCTTACAAAAGTCTCATACATCTGGAAAGTATCAATGGACAGTTAAGTTTAAGGAGGGTTATTTTAAGATTAGAAGAATTAAAAAAAATAGCTATCTTAGTGTGCTATGAAAAAATTTTCTGAATTTAAATGGTCTGTTAAACCCTAGGAGATTCTGTAGTCTCCATCTCCCATCACTAGAAATGGAATCCATAGTTTCTTATGGTTGGCTTGTCACCACTGGGCTCTCTGCATGCCTGTAACACGGCTGCCTTACAGTTCAATGGGGACAGTGGTACCAAGACTTCCTAGGGGTAAGCGGACACACAGAATTCTACCAGAGGGATAAAGGTAGTATGAAACGGAGTTATGTGATGGCTGCACAACTTAGTACATCCTAAAAGTCACATCATTGCATGTAAATGTAAGATAAAGGAAGTATGTAAGGAATGAAAGTTTTAGTAGAATGGAATCCTATGGGAAGTTCCTCATACACACTGTGTTTTCATGTCGATAAGAAAAAGTAAAGTGATGATGTCCAGAAGATGGAGAGTGGATGATAGCAACCATTTCCCATGGATGCAGATGGAAAGAAACACATTGTCAACAGAGATAGGAAACCACCGTTCAGATGGCACCTTATCCATGAACGGCAGTGGTGAGTGATGCCTATGTCAGCTATTGAATTGAGCCCAGGGGTACATCGCAACATATCAGAAACAAACACTCAAGAACACCAGAAGTTCCCTGAGTTTACAGGAGAAGAGCATTTGAAAGCAAAAATCAACCCAACATTACCTCACCCTCATGCCTGTACCCCAAGGTTGTACCTTCCAAAATATACTGCTTGCCCTTGATGTCTGCTCCTCATTCTATGACAAGTGATCTTCTCACCCATAGCTGGCCTCATGGCCACAGGAAACAGTTAAGGTTTTTTACTGTTCCAAGGCACATCTTCTCCTAAAGATACACCCAGAAGCTGTGACCCTCTCTCCCCTCATATTCTTATAAGCCAGAACCAGATCTAATTCAAGTTTCACAGTGGGTGCCAAAAGAGAAAGGAAGGAGGGTTCACCACAGCAGCCCTGAGCTGGCTGCATCAGGACTTCAGTGGGTGATAAACACACTTCAAATTTAAGCAACTCTCCCCACTTTCCCCCTCTCTTCCTCCCTCCCTCATTCCCTCTCTCTTCTCCCCCTCCTCCATCTCTTCCCTCTCTCCCCTGAATTTTAATTCATAAAAAGAAAGCTTGTCATGATTCTCTCTAGGCCAAAGTAAACACAGACAAATGTGGCCCATGTGACCCAACACACACACACACACACACACACCCACACATATATATATGTGTGTGTGTGTGTGTGGTGTGTGTGTATATATATATATGCTTGAAGTCATGTTAGTCTAACTTTATAAGTCAAGGAGAAGGGGAATCTGATCACTGCTGACATGGTTGGTTCAGACAAGCTCAACAGCAGGCAGCAATTAATTTCTTCCTTCCCCTTCCTTCCTTCCCTTCCTTCCTTCCTTCTTCTATTGTTTGCTGGAAACAGGGTCTTTCTATGTAGCCCTGTCCATTCCACAACTTACTATGTGGAACAGGCTGGCCTCAAACTCACAGAGATCTGCTTGCCTTGGTCTCTTGAGTGTTTGGATTGAAGGCACATGCCACCACGCCCCTCTCTTCCACTTGCACATTCTTTTTCTTTATATGTCTAGTGTGTGTGTG